CCTCAGTGAAGAAGCACCGGGGAGGGTTGGGCACATCCGTGGGGCCCCAGCGGCAGCCCCGAGCCTCGCAGCTCTCCTGGGAAGCGCCGGGCTGGGGGTGGCAGTCGATGCGCTTCTGCACCCCCAGCGCCCCGGGACACTGTGCGTCCTGCTCCGAGCCCTGGCATCCCCCCAGGGCTGCCCGGGGAAAAAGAGCAGTCAGAGCAGCAGAGAAACACAGGAGAAAGACCCAAACAACACACACTTATTTAGCTATTCTTTGTTGTTGTTTCCCCATTTTGGAGCCACTCTGAATAATTTTTTTGACTCAGCCTGCTCGTGACCGAGGCAGGAGCAGCCCATTTCTTTTGCAGTCCGAGGCAGTGGGTTGGTATTGTTCAGTGCTCAGAGCTGCTGGTGCTCAGCTGAAGCACGACTTGGTTGAAATGCTCATGGGAAGTTAAATAGCAGGCTAAGGAAACTGCTGGAGAGCAACTCTTCAGGCCAGCTGAGCAGGAAGTGCAGTTCAGTAAGGACTACAGCTGTTATCAATGTTAAAATGCTACATCGTCTGTATACTCATGTGTATCTCTTATGGCATACACAGGAATCATCTATAAATATATAGAACAAATATGTGAAGTCAGCATACACCTATACAATATATATAACTATAAAAATACTGATTAAATACATAAGTTTGGATTGGGTTTCATTTCTATATTGCATGACTACTATATATATATGTAGTATTAGCAGTTTGTGTCAATACATGTATGGTTATGAGTAAAGGGAAGATAGCAGCTGTGAAAGAGAAGACACAAAGTAGTCATTCCCAGAATCATTCTGGCAAAAACCTGTTAATAAAATGCTAAATCTTTCCCTTTTTGCAGCTGCAGGTCGAGCCCTGTGGTTCTCCTGTGCAGCGTGAGCCTCCTGGAGGCAGGAGAACAGTGAGACCCTGCTGTGCTAACAAAATGCTCTGTTATCAAATATTCTTAAAGAGAGCAGGCGTACTTGCAGGCAGCATACTTATTTTGAAGTTAACATGTCATTTTTAGTCATTACTGCAACGTTCAAAGATTAAATCTTTTGGAAAGATAATTGCTCTTTTCCATAAAATGACTAATACCTCTGCTTTTTTTTTTTTTTTTTTTTTTTTTTTTTTTTTTTTTTTTTTTTTTTTTTTTTTTTTTTTTTTTTTTAAATATGGACTGTTGTGTTCTTGAAGCTTAAAATGTGACTGCTGATGAGGTCTGGGCTTCTCCACATAAAGAACTTTACAAGCAGATGTGCACAAGCAATAATTACATATACTGGGAAAATTTACAGAATAAAACTGTAGATTCAGTAGAAAATGCCATCATCATGCTGTGAAGTAGGGAATGGGAATGCAGAAAAGCAGGAGCTGAGTGCCATCTACATTTGTCTTTTGAGAAGACTCTCCCCCCCTCATTTAACACAGAAGGGTCTGATGCTCAGGTCTGACACTGCCAGGATGCACAGCAGAGCTGGCTCCTTGCAGCCACAGCCCTGCCCGTCACCTTCTAGAGTCAGGAATTAACAGGAGAAATCCTTTCAACCTTTGCCAGCTGCCAGGCAGGCAGGCTTGGCCACCAACTTGCTTTCTGGGGTGGACATTCATACCCACAGCCTTGCTGCTTTCTGTCCAGCATTAACTCCCCCAAAGATCTGTAACTTAGGAAAGCACTAAATTCTGATCTTTTACATCCAAAGCATAATAGGAATATGAACATCCTTCTGCATTCCCTAAATTATTTCTTCTTGGAGCAGAAAATCAGAGAGGATTCATCAATGGTCTAATGAAAGACTGAACACTCTGGGCAGGGCGGGTAAGTCCTTGCTGGTTTGTACTGTGTCCCTGCAGATTGCAAGTCCCATGGAAATAACTGCCCTGAGTTCAAGGCACAGCACCTTGGCAGACAAAGCACAAAACAGAGTAAATCCAACACATCTCATTTAGTTGTTGGTGGTTTGTTTTTCGTTTGTTGTTTGGTTTTGGTTTGCTTGTTTGGCTTTCTCTAATGGGAGTCAAATGCAGCCACCAGTGTTTTCATTAGGGAAATCAAAGAATATGACTGAACATACTGCAGCAGATTTTTAACTGGGCATCATTTTACATAGCATAGGTTCACCAGAGACTTTTATCAACTCATTTGTGCAGTAAAATACTTTCAAAATACTTCATAAGAAGGATATTTTTAATGAAAAAGCCAGTTCAAGGGGAAAATAATTGCCTCAGCAGGGGTCAAGACATTTCTTTAATTCTCCCCCTATCAACATGAAGCTTAAATTTTCCAGAAAATTTTGAAAATTAGCACTTGCAGGAAGGAGCAACTGAAAAAGGCTGCAACCTTGTTCATCACTTGCTCCTGGATTTACTTTTATTATACTATAAATGGAATAATAGCATGTAGGAAGGTAGAATTTTC